GGAACTTGGCCGGATTCTTTCGTATTTCCTGGGATTCTTTCGGATTCTTTCGGATTCTTCCGGATTCTTTCCGATTCTCTTGGAATTTAGTGTAATTTTTTCAAATTCTCTTGTTTTCTTTCGGATTACTTTCGGATATTTTTCCCATTCTTTCGGATTCTCTCGAATTTCAGCTTTTTTCGAAATTTCTTCAGTTCTTTGGATTTGTTGTGTTTTTTTTGTGATTTTAGTGTGCTTTGAGTTCCGTGGTTTTTCTCTGATTTTCTCGAATTTTCCAGAATTCTGTCCAGTTTTCTCTTATTATTTCGTATTCTGTTGGATTTTTTCGGATTCTCCCAGATTCTTTCAGAATCTTCTGGATTCTCTCAGATTCTTTTGGATGTCTCCGAATTCTCTTGTTTTCTTTCAGATTCTTTTCGTATTCTTTTGGATTCTCTCGAATTATTTTTGGATTCTTTCTCTGAATTCTTTCGGATTCTCTCGGATTCTTCGAATCCATCGAATTAAATATTTTCTGGTATTCCTTTACCTTCCTCCGTACTCATAATTTCGTCGGATTTTTTCATATTCTTTGTATTCTTTTAAATTATTTCGGTTTCGTTTGGTATTCTTTCGGTTCTTCGAATTTTCTGTGATTTTCGCCTTTTTCAGATTCTTTGTATTTTTTGAGTTGTTTGTGTTCATTTTATTCTTTAGGGTCCTTGGGTTCTCTAAGTTCTTTGGTTTCTCTGGAATTATGTCGGATTCTTTCGTATTCTCTCGAATTTTCTCGGATTCTTTTGGATTCTGCCGGATTTTCTTGGATTCCTTCCAGATTCTCTCCGACCCCGACTGAATTTGGTCGGATTCTCTCAAGTTCTGTTCCGGATTTCTTTCGTATTCTTTTGGATTCTCTTGTATTTCGAAATTCTCTCAAATTCTTACGGAATTTTTTTGATCCTCGCTGCATTTGATAGATTTCTCTGCTATTTTCTGGGATTGTTTCGAATTTTTTCGAATTTTCTCCGATTTTTACGGAACTTGGCCGGATTCTCTCGTATTTCCTGAGATTCTTTCAGATTCTTCCGGATTCTTTCCGATTCACTTGGAATTTGGTGTGATTTTTTCAAATTCTCTTGTTTTCTTTCGGATTATTTTCGGATCTTTTTCCCATTCTTTCGGATTCTTTCGAATTTAAGCTTTTTTCGAAATTCTTTCAGTTCTTTGGATTTGTTGTGGTTTTTTGTAATTTTACTGTGCTTTGAGTTCCGTGGTTTCTCTCTGATTTTCTCGAATTTTCCAGAATTCTGTCGAGTTTTCTCTTACTATTTCGTATTCTGTCGGATTTTTTCGGTTTCTCCCGGATTCTTTCAGATTTTTCTGGATTCTCTCACATTCTTCAGGATTTTCTCCGGTCGTATCGTAATTTGATGGGATTCCCTCGTACAATTCTTTTGAATTGTTTTCTGGTTTTTAGGTTTCTTACGTTTTTTCAACTTTTGTGTTCTCTGGTTTCTCTCGCATCTCTCAGATTCTTTCGTGTTCTTTTGGCTTCTATCCGTTCCTCCCGGAATTTGGTCGGGTTCTCTCATGTTCTCTTGTATTCTGCCGGATTCTTTTGGTATTCTTTTGGATTCTCTGGTATTTGGAAATTCTCTCAAATTCTTTCGGAATTTCTTTGATCCTCGCTGCATTTGATAGATTTCTCTCCTATTTTCTGGGGTTGTTTCGAATTTTTTCGAATTTTCTCCGATTCTTACGGAACTTGGCCGGATTCTTTGGTATTTCCTGGGATTCTTTCGGATTCTTCCGGGTTCTCTCCGATTCTCTCGGAATTTGGTGTGATTTTTTTCAAATTCTCTAGTTTTCTTTCTGATTTTTCCCATTCTTTCGGATTCTCTCGAATTGCAGTTTGTTTCGGATTCTCTCAGACTTACTGGGATTATTTCGTATTTTTTCGAAATTCCTTCGGTTCTTTGGATTTGCTGTGTTTTTTTGTGATTTTACTGTACTTTGAGTTCCTTGGTTTCTCTCTGATTTTCTCGAATTTTCCAGAATTCTGTCGGATTTTCTCTTATTCTTTCGTTTTCTGACGGATTTTTTCGGATTCTCCTGGATTCTTTCAAATTCTTCTGGATTCTTTCACATTCTCTCAGATTCTTTTGGATTCTCTGCGGTCCTTTGACCGGTTTCACTCGTATGCTCTCGTATTCTTTCGTATTCTTCCAGTTTCTCTCCTATTCTCTCATGTTATCTTGTATTCTTCCGGATTCTTTTCGTATTCTTTTGGATTCTCTCGTATTCTTTCCAATTCGTTGCGTATTAGTTCGGATTCTCTCGAATTCTTTCGAAATTCTTTCAGGCTTCTCACTGTTCTCTCAAAATCTCTCGAATTCTTTAGGATCCTCTTTGATCCTCGCTGCAATTGACAGAATTCTTTCTTATTTTCTGCGGTCGTTTCAAATTCTTTCGAATTTTCTCCGATCCTCACGGAACTTGCCCGGATTCTCTCGTATTTCCTGGGATTCTTTCGGATTCTTCGAGATTCTCTCCGATTCTTTTCGGATCTTTTTCCTATTCTTTTGGATTCTCTCGGATTTCACTTTTTTTCGGATTCTCTCAGATTTACTGGGATTCTTTTGTATTTTTTCGAAATTTTTTCAGTTTTTTGGATTTGTTGTGTTTTTCTTTGTGATTATACTGTATTTTGAGTTCTGTCGGATTTTCTCTTACTCTTTCGTTTTTTGACGGATTCTCTTGCATTCTTTCAGATTCTTCTGGATTCTCCCACATTCTCTCGGTTTCTTTCGGATTCCCTGCGATCGTGTCTGAATTTGACCGGTTTCTCTGATATCCTTCCGGATTCTTTCGTATTCTTCCGGCTTCTCTCCGATTCTCTCGGAATTTGGTCGGATTTACTCATGTTTTCTTGTATTCTTCCGGGTTCTCTTCATATTCTTTAGGATTCTGTCAAATTCTTTCGGATTCTTCTGGATTCTCTACAATTCTCTTGGAATTTGGTGGGATTTCCTAAAATTTTTTCCGTTCTTTTTTCTATTCTTTTAGAGTCTACCGGATTTCAGTTTTTTCGGATTCTTATAGATTTACTTGGATTCTTTCATATTTTTTCGAAATTATTTCGTATTCTGTCGGATTTTTTTGAATTCGCCCGGATTCTTTCAGATTCTTCTCGATTCTCTCAGATTCTTTTGGATTTCTCTGAATTCTCTTCTATTCGAATCCCTCGAATTAAGTATTTTTGGATCCTCTACTATTCCTCCGGTTTATTCCCTATTCATAATTTCGTCGGATTTTCTCATATTCTCCTGTATTATTTTAAATTATTTCGGTTTCGTTTGGTATTCTTCGCTTGAGTTTTTTGTGGTCACTCTATTCTTTAGGATTCTCGGGTTTCCTAAGTTCCTTGGTTTCTCACGAATTGTGCCAGACTCTTTCGGATTCTGTCTAATTTTCTTGGATTCTTTCAGAATTCTCTCCCATTCTCTCAGATTTTGATGGGATTCTCTTGGATTCTTTGTTTTATACATTCTTCCGATTTATATGAGCTTTTTCAATTTCCTGTGTTTGTTCTGCTCTTTGGGTTTCTTGAGTTCGTTAGGTTTCTCGATTGTTGTTTCTTCTGGATTTTCGTCGATTCCTTCGGTATTTGGTCGGATTTTCTCATATTCTTTTGTATTTATTCTTTCGGATTCTGTTCGCTTTCTTTCAGATTCTCTCGGATCTCGCTTTGTTGTTTTTTGTGTTTCTTTTGATTTTCTGGGATTCTCCCGGATTCTCTCACATTCTCTTCTGTCTCTCGGTTTCTTCCGGATCCATAATTTCGTTGGATTTTCTCATATTCTCATGTATTCTTTTAGATTATTTTCGCCTTGTTCCGATTCTTTGCGTTTTTTGAGTTTCTTGTCCTCATTCTCTTTTTTAGGTTCTTTGGGTTCCTTAAGTTCCTTGGTTTCTCTCGGATTGTATTTTACTCTTCTTTCGAATTCTCTTAAATTTACTAGTTATTCTGGCATCTCTCTTTTTTCTCGGATTCTTCCAGATTCTCTCATGTTCTATTATATTTTCGGATTATTTGCTTATTATTTCGTATTTTGTCGAATTCTCTCGAATTATTTCGGTTTTCTGTTTTTTTTTCAGCTTCGTCCGGATTCCCCCGGATTTACTAAAATTATTTTAGATTCTTTAATATAATAATAAATAATTACATGTCAAAATATATAATTTTATAATACGATAGAAAAATCAAAAAACAAAGCAAAATTTACTCAGCACAATTCTGAGATGACGTCAGCCAGCTTTTGAACGGAAAGAACGCTTGAATTTAAATTTGCGCTTTTGCGAAACTTGACAATTTCTTACTTACTACACCAAACTATAAAACCGACTTTAAATAGAGCAATATTTGGCAAATTTGGCAAACGATTTGCAAATACCGCAAATTTGACAACCGGGGTGAATATCCACTAAATGTGGGAATGTAAATGCGGCGTAAAGAGCTCCCTAACAGCCCCTCGGCTGTTCTATTAATCCGGTTTAGTGGCACATTTCGTTAAACGTCCGTCCTACAAACATCTTTCTAAACCGAACCTTCAGAATTCCACATCCTGAAAAATTCGCTTATATTATTCAAACAATTCCGGTTTTTTCAATTTGCTTTCAGCGAAGAAGCGAAGCTCATTTGCAGTTAACCAAATCGCGAACTCCATCACCAATAACATTTACAGCAGTTTCAGCGTGAGCTTTTCAAACCGCAAAAAGGCGATCTCTGAAAAATCAGCGCCAATTTTTGAATTTTGTTAATAAAAGGGTGTAATGTTTGATATTATGGTTTTTATTGAGCTTGCCGCTGGCGCAGAAGTTTAACTATTATTTAGCAACTTTTCACATTTAATTCACATCTGGCACTATTTCTTTGCAAAATAAACTTAATCGACAAGCTTGCGTATTAGCCTCAGTCAGACTTTAAATGCTGATACTGAAATCAGTTAGATGCGCGCTGCCAGCAAAGCATAAGCTCAGGCTAGGACTTCTAGGTTCAATAATTTCCCGCGTTCGCGCGAACTTGAAATAAAAGCGAGAAAGAGTACATGTTTTAAGATTAATGAACTGATAATAATTGTACCCGGTTCCGTCAAAGTAAAATAAGTGTGTGTGAACGAACCCTCGTCTGGCGTATTTTTTAAGAATGTAGTTGGCGTGTAAGTATTTTTTTTAACACGAATAATGACTTAATAAACTTGCATGAAACGGATAAATAAAAAAGTAAAACACAAAAATCATCACTCAAAATTTTTTTTTTTTTTTTTGATTAACGAATGTTAATATTTTTTATATTCCAACACGTTTAATCTCGCTCCTTAGTGCTTACTTTATCCTTTAATGAAATTTCCTGCTAAACGCTTGAGCTTAGAAAATACGAATAAATTACCCAGAATATTTTACATTTAAATGAGAAAAAAAACACAAATTTCAACGCTTTGTGAAAATTCACACAAGCAAACACTGTCAAATTAACAACACAAACAATGAAAATTTAATTGTTTGGAGCATCTGGCTTCTGTTTTCATTAAAAATAACTTCATCATGTGTGCACTATATGCAAATATTAACAATGAAGGTATTTCGGGCCCTGTCAGTGAAAAGGCGGCATGAAAAATGAAAACTGGTTTTTCACTGCTCGAATTCGTAGACGCCCATCGATAAAGCACGAAGTGTAAAATTTCCTACAAATATGTATAAAGTCGTTGCGATTTGTCATTTTGTGTAAAATGGGAAATTTCACACTTGGGAAGGCTGTAATTATAGCCAAGGAAAAATTTAGCCCTTGGACAAAAATTTTCTGAAATGTTGTTAAACATTTTATTGTTACAAATAAATCATAGAGTTATAAACCGACGCATAAATAATTATAAAACAAAGCGAGATAAATTTATATCCATGAAGCCATGACCTGAACTTAGGGTTAGTAAATTTTGATAAAACTGCAAAAATAAAGAGCGAAGGCCAAGAGCACAATAAAAAAAAATGTATACATAAATATTACAAAACTTAAGCAGAAACGGTGCTTGAATATTCCCCTAGAAAACAAAAAAGAAACCAAACCCCAATCCGACCTTTTAGTTAACAAAGTCTTTGGAAAAAAATGTCACCAGTACGCTGTAAAATCTAGTCTTCAAAGCTTTCCTAATTTTAATAAAATTACATTTTTTCATAAAGATGATAGTTTGGTTTTATGAAAATAAAATTATGATTGTCGATTGCACAAAATGACGTCAAATTTATTTTGTTGTTTGCGCATATCGTTGGGAAAATTGTCCGCTGAACTGAAAAATATTATTATATTTTAGTATTCAAATTTTGATTGCAAAAATTGATAGCTTTACAAATCTGTTGTTTTCAATTTTTTTTGTTTTATCGAAACTTCATTGCATCTGTAATCTCCGAAACTACCAGACCGATTATTGACAGATTTTATGAATGCTAGGAATATGGCGTAGAAAAATTTGAGTAGACATCCCCTCTGATAATTTTATGACGTAACCTCAAAATTGTGCTTGGTACACGTCATTTAAATTTTATAAAATAACATACTCTTGTACTTGAGGTTGATATTAATATAGGAGAAACTATGAGGGGCCACGAAAAATCTGAAAAGAAAGGAATTCGCGAAATTGGAAATCCGAAAGAATTCGAAAAAATACGAAAGGAACATGAGGGAATATGAGAGAATCTGAATATATTGTGAGAAGAGCGGAGATCAGAAGAATCCGAAAAAATCCATAAGAATCCAAGAAAATATGAGACTAGCCTGGAAAACCTGAAAGAATCCGAGAAATCCGAGAAAATCCGATAGAATCCGGAAGACTACGAGAAAATAATCCGGCCAAATTATAATTATGTGATAGAATTCGACCAAATTCTGAGATAATCTCAGAGGAATCGGAAAAATTCGGAAAAAATACGAGAGAATACAAATTTCGTGAAGATCGGAGAAATTCCGGAAGAATCCGAAAGACAACCTGGGAATGCGAAAGAATCCGAGAGAATAAGAGAGAATCCAGAAGAATCTGAGGAATGAAAGGAATTCGAAGCACGCTAAAAATCGGAACAAAGCGAAAAACGCAAAAAATTCAAAGAAACGAAAAAAGTTCCAAAGAATCCGAAAGAATAATCTGGAGAATTCCATAGATTCTAAAACGATCAGCGAGAATCGTGAGAATATAACAGAATCCGAGAGAATCTTGAAGAATTCGAAAGAATCCGAGTGAATTCGAAAATAATTTGAGAAAATCTGGAAGAATACGCAAACGATCCAAAAGAATACAAGAAAGATCGCATAGAATACGAGAGAATATGAGGGAATCCGACAAAATTCCAACAAAATAAGAGAAAATTTGGAAGAATCCGAGGAAATATGAAAGAATCTAACCAAATTCCGAGAGAATACGACAGATTCCGAGAGAATCTTGACAATTTGAAAGAATCCGAGAGAATCCAAGAGATTTCGAAAAAAATTTAAGAGAATCTGGGAGAATCATAAACAGTACGTAAAGAGAATTCGAAAGAATATGAAAAGAAACCGAAAAAATCTGACAAACTTCTTATGAATCCGAAAGAATCCAGAGAATCCGAAAAACCCAAAGAATTTCAGTGAATCTGGAACAATACGCAAAAGATCAGAAAGCATAGCACAGAATCTGAAGAAGTTCGAAACTCGAGAAAATCTGAAAGAATATGAAAAGAGTCTGGAAGGATATGAGAGAATCCGACGAAATTGCGAAAAGAACTAGGAGAATTCTAGAGGATCCAAAAGAATCTGGAAGAATATGACAGAATCCGACAGATTTCAAAAGAATCCGGAAAAATCTGAAAGAATCGGAGGAATCCAACAGAATTCGAAAATAAGTCCATAGAATGCGATACAATCCTAGGAAACCCAAGGAACCCCAAAAACAAAAGGAACTCAAGGAATTCAAAAAACACTAAAAATCGAAAAAGCAGGGGAAAGAATTTATAAAGAATCTGAAAGAATTCAAGAGAATCCGATCAAATACGAGATAATCAGAGAGAATATGAAAGAATCTAGAAGAATCCGAGAAATCCGAGAAAATCCGATAGAATCCGGAAGACTACGAGAGAATAATCCGGCCAAATTATAATTATGTGATTGAATTCGACCAAATTCTGAGATCATCTGAGAGAAATCGGAAGAATTCGGAAAAAATACGAGAGAATACTGGAGAATTCAACCAAATTTCGTGAAGATCGGAGAAATTCCGGAAGAATCCGAAAGACAACCTGAGAATGCGAAAGAATCCGAGAGAATAAAAGAGAATTCAGAAGAATCTGAGGAATGAAAGGAATTCGGAGCACGCTAAAAATCGGAACAAAGCGAAAAACGCAAAGAATTCAAAGAAACGAAAAAAAAATCCAAAGAGTCCGAAAGAATAACCTGGAGAATTCCATAGAATCTATAACGATCCGCAAAAATCAAGAAATTTCGAAAATAGTTAGAGAGAATCTGACAAATTCTGAAACAATACGCAAATGATTCGAAAGAATACTAGAGACTCTGAGAGGATACTAAAAGAATCCCATAGAATATGAGAAAATGTTAAAGAATCCGATCAAATTCCAAGAAGATATGAGAATAGGAGGGAATATGAGAGGACCTAAACAAATTCCAAGAGAATCGTGAGAATACGACAGAATCCGAAAGAATACAAGAAAGAGCGCATAGAATATGAGAAAATTCGACAAAATTCCAACAAGATAAGAGAAAATTTTGAAGAATCCGGGGAATATGAAAGAATCTAACCAAATTCCGAGAGAATACGACAGAATCCGAGAGAATCTTGAGAATTTGAAAGAATCCGAAAGAATCCAAGAGATTTCGAAAATAATTTGAGAGAATCTGGGAGAATCAGAAACAGTACGTAAAGAGAATTCGAAAGAATATGAAATGAAACCGAAAGAGTACGAAGGAATATGAGAGAATGCGATCAAATTCTGAAAAGAATGGAGAGAATTTGGAAGAATCCGAATCAATCCGAGCGAATACGGGAAAATCCAACCAACTTCGAGGAACCACTAGAATCCGAGAGAAATCGGAAAAATTTGAAATCTGACAAACTCTTTGTGAATCCGAAAGAATCCCATAGAATCCGAAAAAACCCAAAGAATTTCAGTGAATCTGAATATGAAAAGAGTGCGGAAGGATATGAGAAAATCCGACGGAATGCGAGAAGGACTGGGAAAATTCTAGAAGATCCAAAAGAATCTCTCTGGAAGAATATGAGAGAATCCGACGGATCTCAGAAGGATCCGAGAAAATGTTAAAGAATCCGGAAGAATCTGAAAGAATCGGAAGAATCAAGCAGAATTCGAAAATGGGTCCATAGAATCCGATATAATCTATTAAACCCAAGGAACCCAAAAAACAAAAGAAACTCAAGGAATTCAAACAGCACTAAAAATCGAAAGAACAAGGGACAGAATTTATAAAGAATCTGAAAGAATTCGGGAGAATCCGATCAAATACGAGACAATCAGAGAGAATATGAAAGAATCTAGAAGAATTCGAGACAATCTGACTAAAACCGAAAAAATCCTAGACAACCCGAAAGACACCAAGGAAACTAGGAGACCCAAGAAACCCAAAGAACAGAAAAAACTCAAAAAAACGAGAAATTTCAAAAAGAGTTCGGGAGAATCTGATAGAATCTGAAACAATACGCCAAAGATCCGAAAGAATAAAAGACAATCCGAGAGAATACGAAAAGGACCCATAGAATACGACAGAATATGAGAGAATCCGACCAAATCCCTAGAAGAAAGGAGAAAATCGGAAGAATTCCTAAGAATACGACAGAATCCGAGAGAATCTTGAAGAATTTGATAATAATTTGAGAAAATCTAGGAGAATCGGAAACAATATGCAAAGGGCCCGAAAGAATACAAGAGAATTGAAAAGAATATTAAAAGAATCGGAAAGAATAGATGAGAATATCAGAGGATATGACCAAATTCCGAGAAGAACAGAGAAAATTAAGGAAATTTCGAAAATAGTTCGACATAATCTGAAACAATACGCAAACGATCCGAAAGAATACGAGAGAATCCGAGAGAATACAAGAAAGATCGCATAGAATATGAGAGAATATGAGAAAATCCGACAAAATTCCAACAAGATAAGAGA